GATATCATTAACTGAGGATAACTTATTTAAAGCGATCAAGATCTTAATAAGTGGGGAAGTTGTGTTGTTAACTACAAAAATAGTATTAATTTGCCTTAGCTTAACAAATGGTACCTTAAGCTTAATTTCTTGAAGTAATTCGGAAGAGTATAACAAGTTGTGTAAAATTTTGAAGACAAAAATTGTGGAGGCAATGTACCGTCGGGTTTCTAACCTCGTTATATCTAAGCCGAAAGTACTATTTAAGTAATTAAGCTGGGTACCGTAAGAGATCAAATGTGGATAATTTTGGGTTCTGCGCCCCACTCGAACATCTTCATCAAGTTGTAGAGGTCCCGGTCGGGGTCGTTGTGTTCTGCATTGCATTCAATGGATCGCAGGTAGTAGGTAGTAGCTGCCTTCAAGTTTATACTACCCGCCATAAGTATTTGAACACCCAGTGACTTTGATCAATTTTGATAAAATTTTCAGGGCAGTTGTATTTATTTCGAATTAAGAAACGATGAAAATTTGAACATTATACAAATTAAAATAACACTAATATGCCCTCAGTAGTCGATGCCCAAATGAAGAAAAAAAAATAATAATAAACGTTTAAACAAATATAGAAAACGAGCTCCTGTGTATGGCTATAGCATGTTCAAGACCAAATTTTGCACCTCTAAGTGCATATAGGTATCAAGTTTCATTTAGATGCTTTCATAATTAAGAAAGTTGGCACTGTGCATCTGACATACCCATCAACATAATTTTATATATTTTGTATTTTATTATAGTCCTGAATATTACGGATGGAAGTTAACGCACACAGATAATTATGAATTTAATTGGTTCGACGGCGACGACATGCCCACTACTGTCGGAGACCTATATCATTCTGGATCGCATTGACCAAGAGAATGAAAATCAAATCGATTAGGGTACTGACGAGGGCAATGGGAACGAAACAAAAGAGACCGTTGACGATAATTGTTAAACGCGAGTACGATATTATATCTTGTCGGGATATCAATTTAGAACAATTATTCTTTTGAATGGATTGTGTTACCAATTTTTAATAATAAAATCATTTTTTTGAAGCTCACGAGAAGGTCGTTTTCAAGGTTCTTTGCTTGTCCCAGTTATAGCACAAAGATGTTTTAAGAAAACAGATTTTCGAGTATGGCGCCATCTTTAGCCTTCATGACAAGTATGGCACATATATCATGGATCAATGTGGAGCATGAACTTTCGGAAAATCCAAATGCCATACTGTAGCAAATCACCCAAAATTATTAACAAAAATGACATCTTTGTGCCGGTATGGCGGCTATGCGGGTCCGTCGCTGCGGTATGGCAGGTTGATTTTCGTGAATGACTGTTTAAGGACTTGATGCTCATAAAAAAATGAGCTTGTAGCAAATCACCCAAAAAAAAATACAAACAATCGACACTTTCAAATGAGTATGGCGGGCTATAAGGCCCACCGGAAAAGTATGGCATTTCGTTTTCGTCATTTGTTTTGTCACCGACTACCAGAAAATCCAAAGAATTTTGTGTAGCAAATTGTCCAAAATCATTAAATCTTTCGACATGTTTAAACAATCGTCACGCAATAACGGCCCCACTCCCAGAGAGTTAGCACCATTTTCGTTTTGAGGAGTACTTAATTAAACGTTTGAATGGTCGCCATAATTGTAGCAAATCACACCACAAAAAGTGTCACCATCTCCCGGTCTATGTAGCTAGTAAATCAAACCGTTGTAACTGAATTTAATCTTTTAGACTTTTAGAGCAGCGTTAAATAGAAATCAAATCACCTGCAGACTGCAGTTCATTTTGAATGTTATTTGTGAACAGTGTACTTTTTACTTTAGTCAAATAACAAGTAAAATGAATGCGATATCTTGAAGCAAAGAATACTTAATAATAAATACGCTTTGCTTGAAGTCTGGCGGCTCGGCTACAGTTCGAATAATTAATAATTTTCGGTGCACGCCGAACATTGTCGGAGCAAATTCGATGGACCCGGGAAATACACACAAGTAAGACCCCGCAATTAAAACAAGTATACTTTTACTGCTTTCCATTTGAGTGCGTGAAGCTCGGGTGCAGTTCGTTCGGAGCATCTCATTTTGCAAGTTTTTCATTTTGCACGCATTTGAATTGACATTCACAGTACGTAAATAACCACAGAAGTGTTTCAAGCCCCAAGCAAATAGGTGGTGCATGAGGGGACAAAGAAAATCCAATTTCGGGTGCGTCAGAGCTCGGAAGAGGGCATCGTGCACGGTACAGCTTATAGCTCCTCTTTCACTCAAATGGAAAGCAGTACCTAAATAGTGTACAACCTTGCGATACCGTTTGTATTATACCATGTTGTGTTATAAGGTAGTAGAATGCTATCGATGTTTACTTTCTTAGTATATGATTAATGGGGAGGAGGCTCTTTACACATAAACATTTAAAGACCGCCTGGCATACAATTCTGAATAACTTTGTCCATTTAAGCGACTTTGTATCTCTTAGTACGGTTTACGAGATCCCTGTAGGGAAAATGGACACAAATTGTGCACTACTCTTGTGCAGACAAAGCGAATTTTTGTAACAGCCGTACGCTCCAATTGCTCTTTCTGAGTAACATCTTCCGACACTCCGTTCTCGACATATTCGCACGTAAAGTTTTGACCTTACCATTAGATATGCCGAGTCCAGATGTTTCAATTAATAGTCCTTTCTAAGTACCCTCCTCTCTTGAGATACAAGGAATTATATCTCATTACGATAAGTGGTCGAGGAGGAGGACTATGGTTGGTAGAAGTTAATTCCTATCGTTGAGACCTTCCATTAGAATTAGAGTAACTTGAAGGATAAAACCAGTTCCGCCCCCACCCCTATGTGATAAGGGGCAAGAATGAAGGGCGGTAGTTGGTAGAAAACAGTTTTTAGCGCATTTCCACAAAAATACAAAAAAAATGCGCTATTGTGGCCACTTTGTCCGTCCGTCCGGCTGTCCGTCCGTCCGTCCGCTCGTTTTGCGACGCTACTAGTTCTTTATCTTAAGAGCTATTGTTCTACTTTTTTCGCTATTTGGTTCGTTATGGTGTCTAGTCTTGTACCAAGGAAGGAATTTTTTCTGTACCGCTTACAAAAAAAGTTATTGTAAAAAAACAAAAAACCGTTTTTTACATGTTCCATAATTTTACACTTTTGCCGTTTATTAACGATCCTAGAGATCGTTTATAATTTTGCATTGCTATCTGTTGTCTGCCTGTTGGTCTGTCCGTCTGTTCCTTTGTCTGTCTGTCCATCTATCTGTCCGTGTGAACGATAACTTTGTTTAGAAGTGTTCGATCGCGTTTATATCTCCGTTAGTTATGAACTGAATTGCATGAAATTCAATATGGGCATAGCTTTAGCCATATAATACGCAATGTCAAAAGTTGAATCGAATCAATTCAAAATTCACAGTGCCCTTTTCGCATCTCGACCATTTATAAACCGAATTGCAAACTTTTTTACTTATAAAAGTATTTGAATGAAATTTGATACATAGGCACTTGAAATAAAGGAAAATCTAACGCCAGTTTCAAAATTTTATTTCGCGCATGCGCAGTGGCAACTTTTTTTATTTATGGAAGAATTTAAACGAAATTTGATACATAGGCACTTGGAATAAAGGAAAATCAAACGCCAATTTCAAAATTTGGTTTTGCGCATGCGCAGTGCCAACTTTTTTATTTATGGAAGAATTTAAACGAAATTTGATACATAGGCACTTGGGATAAAGGAAAATCAAACGCCAATTTCAAAATTTGGTTTTGCGCATGCACAGTGCCAACTTTTTTAATTATGGAAGAATTTAAATGAAATTTGATACATAGGCACGTGGAATAAAGGAAAATCAAACGCCAGTTTCAAAATTTGGTTTTGCGCATGCGCAGTGCCAACTATTTTATTTATGGAAGAATTTAAATGAAATATGATACACAGGCACTTGGAATAAAGGAAAATCTAGCACCAGTTTCAAAATTTTATTTTGCGCATGCGCAGTGCCAACTTTTTTATCTATGGAAGCATTTAACTGAAATTTGATACTTAGGCGCTTGGAACAAAGGAAAATCTAACATTAGTTTCAAAATTTAGGTTTGCGCATGCGCAGTTCCAACTTTCTTATTTAGAAAAGCATTGAAATGAAATTCTTCTCATAAACTGAAATTGAAGTAGCACGTCAAAAATGGATTGCCCATGTGCAACGCTATCTTTCATATTTGTGGCCGGATTTTTACGATTTTAATAGAAGTTGCATCTTACAATAATGGGAAATGAATGCAAGTGGAAATGCGCTTTATGTAAATCGTTTACGATTACTTTTTAACTTGTTTTTGTTGAGACCTTTAGATGTTCGACGTACTGCATTGTTAAAAAAGTTAAAAAAGAAGAATTGTGCGATCATGATTACAACAATGTATAACAACAATTTACAGCATAAGAGGTACAAGGACAAGGGAATAGTATATTCTTTCTATAACGAGTAAAGAATAGGATATATTCTATATGAACGTTATTAATGAAAATTGTGTAACTAAAATCACTCGGCTGCGCCTCGTGAATTTAACGTTACACGCGTTTCATTATGACGTTTTTAAACGAACTTGTATCATTAATAACTATTACCTATGTGTAGCCAAACATATTGCCACTCACCAAATTAATGCAAGCCTTCGCCTTTTTACCTGCAGTCCCTTGGGGCCCAAGGACAAGTTTGTAATAGTGCTCTTTTTCAAAACATAACATTAAACTAATAAAAATATACGACAAATTAATAATTATTTAATTTAAAAAATTAATGAATTGAGATCTATAGCAATCGTGCTATGCCATCTCAATTCTCATGAATTATAACTAATAATAATTTGCTAAAGATAGTCTGAAAAGTTTAGTCTTTGGGCATGAAACTTCAAACCAAAAAATGCCGTTTGCCTATAAAGATTAAAAATAGAAGACATACATATACCATGTGGTATAGAAAAACTTACATTTTATTGCATTGTACCCAAAACATGTCAATTAACGTCTAGTAAATTAAATTAAAATTATCGAGATCTAATCTTATATCAGTGTAAAGGTGGGTACGCACTTGAGCAAATTTGCGCGCACGAAAGATGCTCAAATGTGTACGGGGTGAGCATTTATACGCGCAACAAATTAACACAGACGAACGCGAGCCGTCGTCTGTCAGTCTCGAGAGAAACATCAAAACATTTTCAGTGCTCAGTCTGGACGGGCTGTCAGTCTCAAGTGAGTACCCATATTTTAGCGCGAACCACTGTAGCAGGTTTGTGTGCATATTTTCATTTATGTTGTGTGTGATTCTTTTATGTTTGCGTTCGAACGTGTGTCCGCGCAAACCTGTCGTGCGCACAAATTTTCTTAAGTGCGTACCCACCTTAAGATAAATATGTCTAAAATATAGGTATTATGTCAAGTACAATTCTCATCAATCAGCGCTCATGTTTTTCTTTTCAACATCAACTTTTCTTCTGTACCATCGGGATCTTTATCAAACATAGAGAGATCAGGTTTTTCAGTGCAATTATCAAGATCGCTTGCGAGTTCTTTAAATAATTCTCTAAATAACAACCCATCCATATTTTTCGATAAATAGTAGAGAAACAGCCAATCGTTAAAGTTGCAGTAACGCATAACCCTAATTACATTCCATGGATTTAATTTACCAGCTCTAGAATTGGAAAACATAAATTCGTTAAATTTTTGACTTCTTCTGTGAAGGATCATTTCCAAGGCACGCCAAAATATTGCGACGATAGATATTGCGAAGAGTGTTGTAAACCAAAACCAAAGCAATACATAGATTTTGTCGTTAATTATATTGAGCGCCATAACACACATAGCGTCGTGGGACTGAATTGAGCCACTGGGCCCATATTTGTGGAAGGTACATTTTGTTATCTGGAACAGCAATATAAATAAAATTACACGTGTGGCATCTTTCACTTACTTTAGGAAATACAACATCTAACACGTCTACGTTGGAATCGAGACCATTTGTAATAATTTCAGGTCCTAAATTAAGAAACTGACCTGCCAAAAATGCGTCGGTTATAAGAATTTGTACTATCACATGAATGCAGTTTAAACACTCGCACAGTATTAAATTTACGGCCCATGTGCGACTTACGTATAGACGTTGCAAAAAGGCTTTCCTGATGTTTTTTAACACTTTCGCCCTACATACAAACTAATTAATGTACCATTTAATGAAACTTGTCCAATTGCCTACTTTCCCTCCATTGTCGGAATCTTATGGCCACCCACAGTTATCTCCTTTTCTCCAAAAGCGATCACAGCGAACTCGAGACCTTCAACTAGCCTCCTCAGTCGACCATCTGCACAGAAGAACAAAATTTTTAAATGTTGGTATGTACACACTCATCAAAATAAAAAAATGGCATGCCAATGTAATAATAGTATATTATATACCAAGGGACTAGAGGTCTGTTTTAATCCCGAAGGTGCAGATTCTTGCCCATAAGAAATAAGAAAGTAGTAGCCTGTATCTTCTACATCTAGCGTGTTATGGATTCAGATTCAGACTCTCCGAAAAAAAGGTGCTAACAGGAACCGTCCATTTCCTATCGTTTAAAATAGGGAAAATGAAAACGAAATTTGAGATTTTTAGCGCATTTTTGCAAAAATTTTTTTTGGTAAAAAGTAGCTTTTAATCTCACTTTGGCTGGCTGGCTGGCTGGCTGGCTGGCAGTAAATGCGCGCCCGTAGAAAAACGCTTGTAAAAAGACAAGGAGTGTACATGTAACTATCGGGGCCGTGTAATTAAGAACGTTAGGGATGGGGCTACAAGATTTGGAGTCGACGACATCTGGACGCCATCCCCGAGCGTATTATACTAACCTGGAGATTTTTCAGTTTTTATCTATCTTCTTCTACAGTTTTTCTCCGATTGTTTTCAAATTGGTGTCGTCGGGAAGATCTTGTCAACGCGCACAACTCCTGCGTGGCGGAATTTTGTTTTTTTTCCTAGGGGCGAAATAAACCACCTTTTGCGCGGCGCGCTTCGAGGGGTAGTCGACTTTGGGCGCCCAAAAGTTTCTTACAGCGCGAATCGCGGTCTCTCTTTCTCGTGTCACTAATAGAAGGTCGAGCTATGTGAAGTACCCAAAAGTTGAATACGATTTTATGCCGGGATTTTAGCGAAATCTACCAAAATGTGAATTACGAATGAACGGGACGTCGGAACTGTGTATCGACAAAGGGAATGTGGTAACCCCCGACGAGATCTTACTGATGGTGGAGTCGAAACTTCAAACGCGAATTGCGAGTGCACGGTAAGTGAGAAAATGGTACCGACAAAGTGAACGTGGTAGCTTTCGGCAAGATCTTATTGATGGTGGAGTCAATATTGGCTAATAAAACACTGATCTGCCACACAAAAATGCGCTGAAGTCCCTTCGATCTCACACGAGGACTTTGATCATTTTTTTTATGATATCTCAGTTATTTTTACAGATTTTTCAAAAATTTCAAATGCGCTTTAGTCACAAAAAGGGACAACTTACCCTCCATTTAACATACACTGTATCTCTCACCGTTACGGAGATCCCGATGGTGAGCCACGAATTTGAACCACCCTGTACAATTTCTTTATCTTTAGAAATTATATCTAATAATTAAAAATACACAGTTGTGTTAAAAATTAATGGGTTTGAATAAGATAATAATCTGTTGGAATTTTATAAAATACGAAAAAAAGGGAAAAGAAATTTAATTCGGCTCAAAAAAGCACCAATATTAGTCCCCTTTTTTAATAATCTCATCGTATAGGTTGGTAAAAATGCTTGGCATTTTAAGACTTCGCTAGCGTGAGTTTAGTAGTACAAATTCCGCCGAAAATGGGGCATTTTTACGCGTGTCTCTTCATATTTTCGGTGTAAGAATGTAAGATACAGTGTGTCCCGCACCATAGGGAAACGGCAACGTATTTTTTGGCGAAGGATCCACGAGGCCTTTAAAATAAGGGTTCAACGTACTACTCCAATATCTTTCTAGCATAAGACGAGCGCAATAACGTAGGTTGAACGCTAACTTCATATACATATCAAAGGCCTGCTGGATCCTTCACGAAAAAATACATTAAATCTGCTTCCCTATGGCGCGTTCTCCCTGGTACACACGGTATACCTTTCGGTGCTATGTCATCGTAATATCGTTCCATTGGTCATTGAGATATTGCTCTTGGTCTTTTTGCCAACGATGTTGGTGCATAAATAACGTTTTGACATGTTTTGATCAAAATCCATGTGGTCGCCAGAAATAGATCAAATTCATGTTTTGGTCATTGAGATGATGCTTTTATTTGGTCTTTTTCCCAACGATCTTGGTGCACAAATAACGATTTTGACATGTTTTGATCAAAATCCATGTAGTCACCAAAAGTAGATCAAATTCATGTTTTGGTCATTGAGATAATGCTCTTGGTCTTTTTCCGAACGATCTTGGTGCATAAATAACGGTTTTGACGCATATTGATCAAAATCTATGCGGCATCAGAAAAATAATTTAACATAATTGAATCACACACATGCGGTTATCAAATGTGCACGTGATGTACTCTTTCAGCATCAAGATAATGGGTTTGAACACTTTTACAATCCCAAATTTATGTGTAAAGAATAATTTTGGGTACATTTTGCTCTAAAACTTTTGACCTATTCCACAGAGAACAGAGAAATATGTTGATTTCTATTATATTGAGTCCGCGTTTTTCCTGTTCCCGATTCACTGGAAGCCCTATAACTTTTGTTCCTGTTGAACCAGCTTCATGAAAATCAATAGCGACCGTCCTTAATGTCCAAAATACCCGTACACCAAATTTCAACACAATCGGCCACGGACGGACGAACGGATCGACGGACGGACGACAATACAAAACTATAAAGGATCTGAGGATCCTTAATAATGATTAATGACGTATCCGATTCAGGCGAACTGTTATGTGCTTTCCATTAAGTTTGTCTTAAGACGCGACAATCTGGCGCTTCTAATCTTTCACACGCAAATTCATAGTCAGGACCGTAATCCAGGACCAAAAATGTCGAAGAAGCCTCTCTTCTAATGCGACCGCCATGTAGGTATATTTTGTAATACTTACTCCATTCTAACAATTCGTGCATGGGGAAATGAAAGAGCAGATAAGGAAGCTAGAGATGTCATTGAAGTCAAAGAAATATTGAGAAATGTAACAGTTTTCTTCACAATTTATTGATAAATGATCCTATTAGGTCTTATTCTTTCTCATTCTTTTGAGTTAACTACTTTTAGGTAATGTAAGTATGACGTTTAGGATTGTAAGTTGACCAGCATTACACTTGAAAATACCTCCCAAGGTTTGTCAATAATGTATCAACGTGACGTAAATCAGTTAATGACGTGCGAAGGTTGTTAAACCGATCCTACTCACTGATAGCACTCCATTGTTTAAGTAACTCGTATTATTACACAAGGTGCGAAATGCCGTACTTTGACTATGCAGTTTTTCAAAAATAGAAAAAAATAGTAAGTACCGAGTGATTCTGCGGAAGTGAGAATTGTGTCAGTGTCATAAAAACTGCCAAGCACTAGAATCTTACGCCAAAATTTAAACGATACTCACTTCTAAAATCATTCGAATAATATTAAATAAGTATTACAATATATTACCTTCTAATTTTTTCCATAGTTTATGTGTAAGATAAAACATAATCGCTTGCGTAAAGAGCACAAACGGCACCCACTGGTAGTATGCATGGCGTATTATCGGTTCTTGGGAGTTTACACCCAGAGGTCCTATAGGTCCAACGCCGGGATGGGCGATGAATTTTGCATCCAACATCGAAGAATTCAGATGTTTCACCTTGGAAAGCCCATAATAACTTTTTTGACAATTCGATTTAAGACTACTTACCACTGTATATGTTGCTGTGAAAAAACAAAAAGTCTCCATGACGTGGGACGGTACTCCGCTGTCGCTTATGCATCGTATATGTTCACCAATATATTGCCTTGAAGTAACCAATGCAGTAGCAACCAAAAGGGTCAATGCTGTGATTCGGTAGTGTAATTTAAATGCAAAATTGTCGATGGTATAGGGTTTGGGTTTTAATACAACCGCCTTTTTCACATCTTCAAAAACCCTCAACATTACGGTGGATCTAGAAGGCAAAAGGTAACTAACACCAATCACTCTCTGTAGTTTTGGTATTACTTAACCCAGAACAAATTAAATTCGTACCGCAAGAGGAGAGAGGGAATCTATATCTTATCAGTCAAAAATGATAATGAGCCTTCCATATGTTTGCTGTAGATGACAATTTCGAGAGAAAGATTATTTATAATCAAAGACAAATAGGTTATTCGTTTGTAAGCGACTGCATTATCAATGTTTGGATAATTAATTGGAAAAACAAGTACAAGTCTTTATACGTCATAATGTGAATTTTGATGTAGGTTAGTAAATATTTTACACTTATTAATCTTGTTGGATTCCCAATCGGAAATTCTCAAAACTAGGTCTAACACACATAAAAAATGGTGTTATTCACACTGGACCTCAGGTCAATTTTAAAGAAAATAAAACCACACCATTCCTTGTCTTATATTTAACGCAATCGCGCATTACCTATATTTTAAAAACAATATGAACCAAGTGACTAGAACAAATTTACTTTTAGTGATAAAAACCTTTTTATTACCTTCCTAATATCAAGTAGCGCTTTCTTCAATAATTAGCTGAGCGTACAATAGATCAACAACGTTTTCAGTACCAAGACAATATATTCCAATATTTTTATTTGTTTTGCCGCCATGGAGTTACAGTATGCATGCTGTACGCCGCTGTCGACACGTAGACCATCGTTATAAAACCCGATGGCTAACCGCCCATCCAAATCTTTAATCTAAGATGTCTTATCTCTTTACGAAAGAAAGTGTTTGGAATAGATCGGAACATCAATCATTTTATCTTGAGCAACCCATTTAGTGAAAATAATACCTACTAAAATGAAATTAAGTTTTATTCCTATAATAACAATATTTTATGCGACGCCGGTCACACACAGTGGTTTGAAAAACTTTGAAGACATTTAACTATAACGTTTAGGCTTTTTGGTCTATGGTACCTTACTTCTTTTTCAAAATTTATTTCCTGAAAATCTGACTCGTACTCTCTATCTCTTCCCTCGCTCTCTATTTATAGTACTGACGGTCATTATCCCCCCGTAGACTAAATCCGTTATTGCAGATGTAGCAGAATACGTTTAAAATTGAATGTAAAATGCAAAACCGTACAATCGAAATTTATTTAAAATGCAAAATCGGCACTTTTTTAAATTTTGCCTTTATTTTTGAGTGGGCGGGGTTTCAGCCAAGGCTGGTCTACCAACCCAACCCACTATACATTTACAAATTCAACTTACAGTTACAACTTCAAATAACATTTTGAATGCAATTAGGATTACAAATTATTTACTACTTTATTCTATGATTGCATGACCATTGCTCGTCATATGATGTTTTAGAATAGTGCTTTTCAACATGGGGGTCACTGCCCCCGAGGGGTGGCAAAGCCCTACTCGGGCGGTCGCAAGTAAAATAAAAATGCAATTGTTAGTAAATACCTACTATACTACAATGAAAAGATACAATTTAATGCGAAGGTTCTGCTTCTTTATTTTTCAATAATTTGTTGAAACGTGGTTCTATTTTTGATAGGAAAATTGATCAAATCACTTTCTAAGTGGAGCCTATTTCTTTCAGTTTTTATGTTCAACATTGAACAGAACGTTAGTTCACATAGGCAGGAAGTGGCGAATGAAACTAGTAATTTTAAATTTTAAAGGTCCCTTTGCCCACTGGATATTCCGGTTTTTTTTTCATTCAGAAGTTTATTGTTACCTTCAACTTTGAATAGTTCTGGAAAATAACTTGCTAGTTTACCTATCTTACAAATTGTGTGAGTTCTGAATCATGCAAGGAATGTGAGAGCTTCCTACCAACGATTGGTCCATTGCAGTTTATTCGACAATCTTCTAAACACAAGGAAAAGATTCGTATATTTTTTTTTCAAAGTGACCACATACCATAAACCCAATTTTGCAAGGAATCCTGTGGTTTCATCCTTAGCTGTTAAAATGTTTGCAAGGTAAGAGAACTGCATCGTGTTGGTGTACGTGCCTATAGTCCCGTACAATTTTTTGAATTTGAACCACGGAAGTAGAAACTAGTATACGATGTAAAGCTCGAAATTTGATCACTTAATTAAGTGCATCATTTAAATAAGAAGGTAAAATTACACCCCCTTTGTTGCAGAATTCTCACGATTTTTTACACAGTTAAAATTATAGTATAGGTGCCTACTTTATTTTCGATCGATATAGGTCCCAAACTAATGCAAATTAATTTAATTAATTAATTAATTGAAGTAATTGACATAATTTATTTAAGGCGCGAGGGGGTCGCCAGAATTTTTTAACTTGGCAAAGAGGTCGTTTTGGCAACAAATAAACAAACAAAAAGGTTGAAAAACACTGTTCTAGAATATTCCTAGATAAGGCTCGTGAACCAATGTAAAGAATCTAGAATGCGCTTGGAAATGGTCTAGGAAACTTATGGCAGGGACTTAACAAGCTTTAGAGGAATGCTTTCAAATAACTTTAAAGCACTTATAAAGCTCAAAAAAGGCTTCAAATGATCCAAAAAGTCTCTGAAACGCGTTTAAAAGAGAAAGCTTTACAATCTTTGAAAACTTTTTTATTACTTATTTCTAGAAGCATAGACAACCTGTAAAAGCCTTGAAATGATCTATTATAACAGTCTGGCGTGTTTTGGTAGGTGCCTACCAAGCTCTAGAGAGGGCCTAAAAGCTATAAAAAGCGCATCGAAAGCTCTGATAGGTGTCTAAGTTCAAGAAAGGTCTAAAACTCTCTTAAAATGCCTGGGAGACTGAGAGTTTTATATTGTTCTGGAACGTGTTTAGAAGGTTTTACAGAGATTTACTAAAATCTAACGTAAATTTCAGAGACATATTAAATGTTTTTTATAGAGAACCCTCTATGCATCTTCCAGGGCTATGTAAGTGTAAAAAGCTCTGGGAAAAACTTTGGCTTTGCATAGGAGACTCTACACGGAATCCAGAAGCCTTTGAAAAACCTGAAAACTGCTTAGAAAGTTTTTGATAGGTCATATAAAGCGTTGACGTAGATGTGGAAAGCTCTGAAAGTATTGGTGATAATGACAAGAATAGAACAATGTTTGTTTATTGTCAGACACTGTTAATAAAGTCCAAATTTGATAGTGCTGCAAGATAATATCTTTTCATTTATGATTGTGTAATTGAATTTAATACGTAATAATTTGTACGTAGCTTTTATAATTCATAAAACTGCCTCGAAATTCCCCATCAGCCATTGAGGGCGTAATTTAAAAACTCGAATTAAAAAAATTAAAATTTCCGCACTTATGCGCCCTTGTTTATTACTTTGTTTTAATTAAAATGTAGCCTTGCAAAATTAGGGGCCCGGCTAACGTTAATTATATTAAATTCACCTGAAACCTTTTGCTTGCCTCTGTTGTATTTTACTCTATATTTCAATTTTATCACTCCATGAACATAAATTGAACTAATTTAGATAAGGTTGTACTGGTTGGAGTGGTGGCGAAACTTACGGCTGCTTCGTAATTAATAATTTACCCCAAAGAAATGGGTTTTAAGAGCTGTCGGTTGAGGCCAGAATTCAACCTAAGGTTTGGTTCTGTAAGCAGTAGATCATTTCAGCTCTGAAATACCAGTTCACGTTTTCGTAGCCAATCAGTGCTGAGGTCTGCCACTTATCCGTGCGTTCGTAATAAGTAGACCGAACTATTTAGGTCAGTCGAAAAACAGAAGTGAGTTGAATTTCCCTCACCAGATCCGGTTTCACACTTATCGGGTAGCATAACAATAGCATAGAAAGTCAATAACTTGATGCCGGGGCATTTCGACACTGGACATCTCGGCGCCGGGACAACTCGGCGCGGAGGGCAACTCCAGTAAAAAATAAAAACGATTTTGCAGAATTTCGGTGTTTTCCGGATATCTCAAAATACGCAACTTTGCCAAATTTAAACGACCTATCTATCTCTTACAGTTCCAGAGATCCCCATGGTGGCCCTCGAATTTGAATCAGCCTGTATATAACTTACATATAGGTACGTAGTATAAAACTACATACTACATTTTCAGTTCGTAGAATTAAAATTGAAAACAATAAGATATAATAATAATAGTCACGTCTAACGTAAAAAAATAAAACAATTCGAAGTAGGTACTTATGACGATATTGTATATGTTTATTGAAACATGAGTAATATGTGGTGAAAGCTCATATTCTATTACAAGGTATTTTTACCTTAATTATATCACTCATTGCTACAAACCCAAACTTTTTGGACACAAATTAATGGAAATTCCAACTTAATAGTTAATAGTTAATGTAATCATTAAATTGGATTAAGAGAGGCATATCAACTTTCAACAACACACAACAAACAGCAGACTGGAACTGGAACAGCTCTTGTTTGTAGGTAAGTGCATTTTGGCAATGATAGATATAGTAAGAATTTCTTGTAAGGGATATTTTAAAGAACCCCACTTACCTGTTTTAAACGCTGCTAAACTGCTTCAAGCGTTTGCTCGGTAATAATTAAACACACTGATTGCATCAACTAATTGTCAGACTATTAACTACAAAGCGATTGAATACGTTTACCATTATGCTATCAAAAATGTGAAGCTATTCAGTATTCATGTAGCTCTTGACATGCGCTTTAATTACACTTTGTCAAATTTCACTTGGAGTGACTGCTTTTTGTCAGCAAAGTACTCCGCCTCTGTACATTCTGAATCAAGATGTATTTTTTCTCACTTAGCGACTTTGTGGAAAACACATCTGAATTCCACACAGAAACACTTTCCAGTGGGATGAATGGATAATTGATCTTCGCGATTTTGAACAGCTTGACAACTAATCTTATCGAATCGTAACCCTGCCTCGTGTTGTGTTGACATATTGCCGTTGCATCATTGGATTAGAAGGTTCATATACCTTAGTTATCAGGTACCACGGTAACCTACTCTCCCAAAAGAAAAATCACGAAAAATAACGTACACAGAGAACCCTAAGCTATAATATGCCTTCTTCTAAATGGCATTAGGTTAGCTGTGAAATAGATGGACCTCACTCATATTCTGACAACGTTCTATATCTTTTTAGATAATGTTGTTCAGTAATTTCCCAATTTTCCCAAAAACGATGCACTGCAAATTTAGTGGACCTTCATGAGAAAGTAAAAAGTGTGTCGTGTGTGTTGAAAATAGTATTAACCTTTGTAGTCATATTTCTATTTCCATTACCCTGTATTACATGTTCGCGCATCGTTGAGTGCAACCAATATGTTAATTCTCTAGTTACTTTTATATTTTTGTGTTGCCTGCCCGTTTTAGTTTCTCGATCCACAGCCGTCTATAATTACAAGCCATGCTGAGAAGTTTGGCAACGTTGTCCGAAAGTCAATCGGTGGGCCGATTTAAGTTTTAATGGCGTCTTGTTGCTCTTGAAAAATGGCATTTTCCTCTCCCCTGTGTTTCGCTATGGCGGTTTTAATATAGAAGAAAGATACTTAGGCAGCTTACAATTGTACATATATTTTTTTCATTTACAAAAATGAATAATAACATTTTTATTTGACTTTAAAATTCAGAACGCTGTAAATTGGTAACTGCATCATAATGTGTTTTCCATCGAGATCTCCGAAGTTGGTGAACTTCTGTCGAAAGAGGTCGAGGTGAAGCACACGCTTGAGCACTTAATTTCGGTAAAAGGACAGTAAATTGCTGCGCATCAGCGAGGTTATATCAACGACCAGGTGTGATTCGGAATGGCAGACTTTAAGCCAGTCGCTACTCCAGTGGGTCTAGGTACAAAGCTTTTAAAGAGGGGAGCCCCATAGACTTCAAATTCCCGTACCATGAACTCTTGGGAATAAGTTGAAAGGTTCCTTCAGAAAATTGATTTGACATGTCCGTGCTAGAATACCTCAAATACAAACTAATTGTATTTTTTCACGATAAACACTTACCGTACTTACGTACCAGGTAGTGTGTAGGTCATATTTGAGCTTCTTACAGGTACTTTGAACAAATAAAAGTGCTTGTAAAGGGTCCAGTAAGGAGTAGCCTGCTTTAGAGGTTATGACAACAAATCGATATATTTCGTTTAGCAACTTACCTGAATAATAATTTCTGTTAATTCCGTAAGGAGTAACACAAATTGTCGCAATCTCGCTCTGTTAAAACGGGTAAATAGGAATATTACACCCAAAACACATATAAAATACACTCAAAATCTGTCAAGTTGAATTAGGAAATCGGCCTACCATGCAGTGTTGCCATAATTCTCAGCACGGCTTGTAATTATAGACGGTTGTGCTCGATCTACCGATCAATGACGTCAGTTTACTGTAATTCGATACCTTGCTGTCATTGGTTTTAAATTCGTTTCCTTTATCGATAAGCATTAGATATTACCATTTATGGTATTGACATATCCATCGGCTCTCGTGGTTGGTTGGAATTATTCGTCGTCGCTTGCATCGTGACCGGAAACAAGAAAGTTAGCGTCTTCTTTTCTCGCCACCTGCTTTAGAAAGACGGTCGATTTGTGATCCCGAGTTGGGGGTGCTTGTTATATTTTCCAGTGGTTGATTTTGGATCGAACACCCTGGCGAAAGCATCTTTAAACCAAGTCAACCCAAATTAATGTTTGCACCAAGCAGTTTCGTTTTAATGCTTGGGGACAAACTTCCGTGAGGAATTTTTTTTTGTACTGGAGGAATTGTAAGCCACCTTAATCGGGGAATCCATCGTATTTATGGTATAAGAAGGCTACCTTACTTTAACGAAGTTCTTTTTTTTTGTGTACTCTCTGCTTTAAGAGAGTCCTTGTAAGGAGTCAAAGTCCAATGATTCCGTAGCTTCCACTTACTCTCTAAGCGAAACACATCTACGTTAAACGACAACATGCAGGAGTTCCGTGTACTGTAAAATCTGCCATTGAAACGTTACTATCTCTAAGGCGCAGCCAAACAGATACTGCGGACACCAACCCTTTTGACACCTGTTGCGGTACATAGAAAACCGTTAGCCGTTTACACGTACACCAGGAATCTTAGGAACCAGAGACCTACCTATCGTAGTGGTGATATCTTATTATTGTTTAAACTATTGCCTTTGGGTATTTGCATTTCATTATGTGGTAAATGTTAACTGGCCGAACACTAGAGCCACCCATATTACTCTTAATTAGTACGCTTGAACTTGAAAGGGAATAATTTGCGTTAATTAACTGCGTTTACTCATGTGAAGTAAATCACCTGTGAAGTACAGAGCTCTATACTATGATTTAAACTTCGATACCCTACAAGCTAACAATCAAGGTATTCAATCCACTGTCAATTTAACCCATTAAACTCAATCACTGTGCAACGGTAGTGGGTGTTCTATACCTACTTTCAGGATTTTTGGTGTGAACTAGTTTCAGCTACTAAATTTATGTAATATTTCATTGGGGGAATTTTATGTAAACCTTGGAATTTGGGATAATTATTTCAACACTTATACTTGGGGTTGTTTAGTTTTTACATAACGTGTTTATTATACTTTATTGATTTTTGATTCCCATTTGGGGAACATAACTTTTGTGTTGGTGTTACGTATGCAGGTGCAATTGCACCCCAATAAACACTTATTTTTGGTGGGTTATCAGTTACCTACTTTAAAGCTAAAGTTACCTTTCCTAGTTCCGGTAGTGGCAAGCGAAACTTAACTTGGAATTAGGTGGCGCCCATAGGGATTTTAATTGAAGCGACCAAAAGTAAGTACTGACGACCTAGGCTGGATCGAGGAGTTATAAGTGCCAATTACCAATTGAGTTAATTCTGTTACCCACAACCCTGTACATTAGTCTTTCTCTCTCCGCTGTTTGCTATTTGATCAACAGAGCTAGCTGGCCGGTCAGCGGCGTGTGTTTTATTTATGAAGCACATGGTATTTTTGTAGTGCCTTGCATTTTGCTGCTTGCGCGTTATACGTGTGATATTGCCATCTATCTCATTTTGTAAAAATCCAATATAGCGCCCATAAGAAATAAGAAAGTAGTACCTTGCAGCTTCTACATCTGTGGTGACAATGAATAATATATAGAGTGGTGCGCGGTAAATAGGAACATAGGGATTTAACATGGGAAATTAGTTTTATGCAATATCCTGTCCTCCTGTACATTTTGCGGAAAAAACTGTACAAAGTTGTTCAGAATTAAAAGGTGCATTCAAAATTGTTTTTACATGTTTTATTAAGCTGTTGGTATACCCACAAATTTAAAAATAAATTTCAACATTTCTATTTTATTTTTCATAAAACATGGCTATTGCTATAGGTACTAATAACAGAAATGTTGAAATTTATTTTTAAATTTGCGGGTATACCAAAAGCTTAATAAAACATGTAAAAACAGTTTTGTATGCACCTTTTAATTCTGAACAACTTTAAACTCTACGGTTTTTTCTGTAAAATGTACAGGAGGGTAGGATATTGCATAAAACTAATTTCCCATGTTACATCCCTATGTTCCTACTTACCGTGCACCACCCGGTATATTTATTTCAAGAGTTACATGGAATCCCATGGTACAAATTCAGCAAAAGCTGCTCTTCCATAGGCACCATGCACATGGTGGAGTAACGTATAAAATAAAAAGTAAAACTTTTTCAGCTAAAAATATAACCTGTACATCATAGTGACATAAAAATAAATAACTATTATAATTGACAAATATTAAACAAGGAGACGTAGAATCACACGAGAAAAATAAAAATGAAAAGATAAGTAACACAAAATCTTAACTTCGTGATGTAAATAGGATATTGAACATCTCAAACTTAATTTTTTTACTGGTCACACCCTTGACAGCCGAAGGTACAAAGTTATATACCGAAGCCATATTGTAACTAAATGAAATGAACGGCGGAATAGAGATATTTATGCTGGGGTTAGTAGACCCCTATGCCTTACATTCAAGTTGTGAATATGAATGTCCTATACCTGTTTTTAGCGCATTTTTGCAAATTTATTTGTAAAAATTATCAAAGTCCTCGTGTGAGATCGAAGGGACTTCAGTGCATTTTTGTGTGGCAGATCAGTATTCTAGCCACTTTTGACTCAACCATGAATAAAAGATCTTGTCAAAGGATACCACATTCACTTTGACGGTACCCACTTCCGATGTCCCGTTCATCCGCAATTCGCGTTTGAAGATTTGACTCCACCATCAGTAAGATCGTGTCGGGGGCTACCACATTCCCTTTGACGGTACCCACTTCCGACGTCCCGTTCACCCGCAATTCGCGTTTGAAGATTTTTCTCCACCATCAGTTAGATCTTGTCGGAGGCTACCACATTTCCTTTTTCGGTGCATACTTATATTACACCCACATTTTGGTGGATCTCGCTAAAAACCTTCCACAAGATAGTACTTAATTTTTGGGGGGCACTTCTCATTGCTCGAGCTTCTATTGGCGACACGAGAAAGAGAGACAGCCATTCGAGATTTACGAAACGTTAAAACGCGTGACAGAATTCGTAACGGAAGGTAAAAGGTGCCCGAAATTGACTACCTCTCGAAGACGCGCGCGCGCGCGCCTTGCAAAAGGTCGTTAATTTCGCCCCTAGGCCAAAAAACAAAATCCCGCCACGCAGGAGTTGTCCGCGTTTACAACATCTTTTCGACGACACCAATTTGAAAAGAATCGGACCAAAACTGTAATAGAAGATAGGAAAAAACTGAAAAACCTTCACGTTAGTATACTACGCTCGAGGACCACACGCAAATGTCGCCAACCCCACATCATGTAGCCCTGTCCCCAAGGTTTACAAATTACACGGCCTTGTAGATACACATACACCCCTTGCCTTTCTATAAGAGTTCTTCTACGCGCCCACATTTGCCGACCAACCAGCCGGCCAGCCAGCCAGCCAGCCAAAGTGAGATTAAAAGCTATTTTTTACAAATAAATTTGCGAAAATGCGCTAAAAAGTAGCTTTTAATCTCACTTTGGCTGGCTGGCTGCAAATGTGGGCGCGCAGAAGAACTCTTGCAGAAAGGCAACGGGTGTACAAGGCCGTGAAATTTGTCAACCTTAGGGACATGGCTACATGATGTGGGGTTGGCGACATCTGGGCGTCATCCTCGAGCGTAGTATACTAACGTGAAGGTTTTTCAGTTTTTTCCTATCTTCTACTACTACAGTTTTGGTCCAATTCTTTTCAAATTGGTGTCGTCGGAAAGATGTTGTAAACGCGCACAACTCCTGCGTGGCGGAATTTTGTTTTTTGTCCTAGGGGCGAAATTAACGACGGGAATGTGGTAGCCCCCGACACGATTTTAACTTTAAAAGCGAATTGCGGGTGCACGCGGAAAGTGGGAAGCGGGTACCGACAAAGTGAATGTAGTAGCCTTCGACAAGATCTGTTATTGATGGTTGAGTCGAAAGTGGCTAATAGAATACCGATCTGCCACACAAAAGTGCACTGAAGTCCCTTCGATCTCACACGAGGACTTTGATAATTTTTATTGTATAAATACGCTGGTTGTTTGTCAGTCTTAGTAATAATTTTGGGAAGATTGAAGATAACGTCTGTTTGCCATATTGAGGCAATGGGCATCTTTTAATTTATGAGAGATGTGATGATAATTTGGAATGCCTTGCGCAAATCTGAGGCAAGAATTTTGGATACGTTGTGGTGTATCGTACGCACGGTGGTGTAATACAGAATGCATATACAGATGAACAATGGGAAAATTGGGAAAGTACTAAGGAATTACATAACATAAATTTGACTTGGGTGGTTAAGAGACGATTTGTGAGGATACAATAATTTTAAACTGAAAAACGCTTTTTGTGTGCACTGCGTAGATCGATATAACTTAGCACAATTAGAAAGACTAATGTGCTCATATTTTTGGAAAGTGAAAATGCGTTATTGCTTGCTTACTGCCCGTCCGTCCGTGTGAGAGATGAGATCTTTGTCTTTGCCGTTGACATTCGTTGACAGTCTTTTTTAGCGCATTTTTGCAAAAAATTTTTTTTGTAAAAAGTAGCTTTTAATCTCACTTTGGCTGGCTGGCTGGCTGGCTGGCTGGCTGGCAGTAAATGCGCGCCCGTAGAAAAACGCTTGTAAAAAGACAAGGAGTGTACATGTAACTATCGGGGCCGTGTAATTAAGAACGTTAGGGATGGGGCTACAAGATTTGGAGTCGACGACATCTGGGCGCCATCCCCGAGCGTATTATACTAACCTGGAGATTTTTCAGTTTTTATCTATCTTCTTCTACAGTTTTTCTCCGATTGTTTTCAAATTGGTGTCGTCGGGATGATCTTGTCAACGCGCACAACTCCTGCGTGGCGGAATTTTGTTTTTGTTTCCTAGGGGCGAAATAAACCACCTTTTGCGCGGCGCGCTTCGAGGGGTAGTCGACTTTGGGCGCCCAAAAGTTTCTTACAGCGCGAATCGCGGTCTCTCTTTCTCGTGTCACTAATAGAAGGTCGAGCTATGTGAAGTACCCAAAAGTTGAATACGATTTTATGCCGGGATTTTAGCGAAATCTACCAAAATGGGAATTACGAATGAACGGGACGTCGGAACTGTGTATCGACAAAGGGAATGTGGTAACCCCCGACGAGATCTTACTGATGGTGGAGTCAAAACTTCAAACGCGAATTGGGAGTGCACGGTAAGTGAGAAAATGGTACCGACAAAGTGAACGTGGTAGCTTTCGGCAAGATCTTATTGATGGTGGAGTCAATATTGGCTAATAAAACACTGATCTGCCACACAAAAATGCGCTGAAGTCCCTTCGATCTCACACGAGGACTTTGATAATTTTTTCAATTCAAATTTGAGCAACGGAGAGCACTTTTACATTTTCCGCCCTTTCTCTTTTCGTCACTTTGGTACCTAATTTCGGTGAGTATGTAACTTGTTGAACGCTTCTAATCTTTATCATTACGAACCATAATCAAAATTATCAAAGTCCTCGTGTGAGATCGGAGGGACTTCAGCGCATTTTTGCGTGGCAGATCAATGTTCTGTTAGCCAGTTTTGACTTCACTATCTAATAAGAATCCCCAGATGTCACCGACCCCACATCATGTAGCCCCGTACCTAATTATACGGCTCCAGTAGGTACACGTACATTTCTCGTCTTTTACGAGCGTTCTTCTACGGGGCCTCATTTGCTGCCAGCCAGCCGGCCAAGTCAGATAAAAGCTACTTTTTTAGCGCATTTTTGCAAATTTATTTGTAAAAAGGTAGCTTTTAATCTAACTTTGGCTGGCTGACTGGCTGGCAGTAAATGCGAGCCCGTAGAAGAACGCTTGTAAAAAGACGAGGAGTGTAGGTACATGTAAAATGTATGACTTTCAAAAACGGATTAGCGTTTATATTAATGCTGTCCCTGAGGTTATACAGGATGACCGCAAAAAAATTCGGTGATAGATGGGATCAAGACAAGCACATTTTCCAGATAAACTGAGGGTCCAACGTGTTTCGTTTGGGAGCCACCTCCAAAGAAGTGGTGAAATTTGGATTTCTTCTTTCATTTTTTTCTCCGCAACCATAAGAGTTACAAAGATGGGTGACACGTCTTTGAATAGGTTTTTAGGCATGCCCTATCCGATTTTGAATAAAATTTTCCAAAATTCTTACCACGAATGTGGTAATCTCCGACAAGATCTTACTGATGGTGGAGTCGAAACTTTAAACTCGAATTGCGGGGGAACGGAACACCCAAAGTGGGTACCGACAAAGGGAATATGGTTGCTCCCCGACAAGATTTTACTGATAGTGGAATCAAAACTGCGGGTGCACGCGGGAAGTGAGAAGCGGGTACCGACAATGTGAATGTGGTAACCTTCGACAAGATCTTATTGATGGTGGAGTCAGTACTGGCATAGTGTATTCTTTACACTAAGGTACTGGCTAATAAAGCACTGATCTGCCGCACAAATATCCACTGAAGTCCCTCCGATCTCACACGTGGACTTTGATAATTTTTACTAATAAATTTGCAAAAATGCGCTAAAATACAATGATACCTACGATTGCGCTTCATTGTCTCAGCATAACGGAATGTAGACCCGTTTTCTTATTCTCGTGTTGTGACATTAGTGATAACCACCCACATTCTTCAATTGACACCGTTTTTTAGATTTGAACGGAAACGGAACTATATTATGATTATAATGTACCTACTTAAAAAGTAAAACAAAAAATTTCCTATATGAGTATAAGTGTCTAGTTTATACAGTTTCTATATTGAGAAATAAACAATTCTTTAAACGGTCAATTTTAGAAACCTTTTGTAAATACATGGAGGACAAGATTTTCAGTAGGTATAGGTCTTTAAGAGGTCCTTTATGGATTAAATATTGTCATTTGAATATTTATGACTTGCACACTTCATGGGATACCTACACTACTTTTAGACCATTACCTGGAAAACAAGCTTAAACGTTAATCACGTGAATTTCCATGAACCTTTCAGGCGAGCTGAACCTAAGTGGCAGTTTAAATACATGCACAGCATGAGATGAGAACCAAATCCCTGCGAAAGTGAAGAATTGAGTAGTGCCCTTACACTTGAATGACTCCGCTAAATGTCCCTAAATGAATATAATGTAAACAGCTTACCATAAGGTAAAGTAAAGATTAATTCATCTCAAAGGGTGGGTTTAAAGACATAAAGAATGTGTACACTGAGGTTATGTAAATTTTATTGACATTTGCTATGATTCTGCTTTTAGCAACATTTACTAAACATTTGTTGTAACTTTGTTGATATTATCACAGATGTAAGTAGTATATTTACATCTGTGATATATACAATATACTAGGTCATTCGTCGGCAATCCGCTAATATAACAGTGTATAAGACATGATTACTGTACTTGCAAGAAAACTACACAATTTAGCGCCAGATAACGACCTTATAGTAGATGTCCTCCTTAATAATGATTAGGCGTACAAGTTCATCACAGATTAGCACTTTATTTGTCTTTCAATATCTTCTTTTCCGGATCATCGACATTTTCGAAAAGGTCCGCCAGTTCGGGATTCTCATTTTGATCGTCGAGATCTTCGGCAAGTCCGATAAATAAATCCCTAAACGCAAATCCGTCCATATTTTTCGACAGATAGTAGAGAAACAGCCAATCGGTAAAATTGCAGTAGCGTGTGACGCGTAGCACCCTCCAAGGATTTAATTTTCCTGGACAAGCCATCGAGAATATTATTTCGTTAAACTTTTGACTTCTTGCGTGCACAATTACTGTAAAACCACGCCAAAGTAAGGCGAGCGTGGTTACAATAAAAAGTATCACAAACCAAAACCAAAGCATTACGTATATTTTGTCATTAATTATGTTGAGAGCCATGACACACATTGCGTCGTGTGATTGTATCGATCCAGTTGGGCCGTACTTGTAAAACGTACACTTAGTTACCTAAAAAGGATAACTCATTATTTATATCAGTCCTTTAAAAGGGTAAATTATAATGCGGGTATCCTGAGCATCTCTCGAATGCAACCGTATCGACTCAAGGTTTATTGTATTACAATAATTCAAAAAAACCAACCGATTTATGCTGTTACAATTGTCGTCATTAATATCAACTTTTAAATTCTAATTGACGTAATTAAAGGAATTTATTCCCGTTCTGTTAATAGTATCTATTATTATTATGAAACCTACAATTATTGTTATGTCACATGAGTTTATTACAGTTCATTAATGGTTAATTAAAGTAGTACTTACTTTAGGAAACACGATGTCTAAAGGATCAACACTGGAGTCAATACCATTCCTAATAATTTCGGGGCCTAAATTCAGAAATTGGCCTGACAAAAAAGTATTGGTGATGTGCACTTGAAGTATTACGTGAATAAAATTCAGAAACTCGCAGAATATTAAACTTATGGACCAAGTGCGATTTATATACAAACGCCCCATGAATGTTCTTCGAATATCTTTAAGCCGTTTATCCCTAAAGGAAAATGTTGAGTTTAGATTGAAATCCAAATTTGAAATACCGAGCCTCTTTGCTAGGAATTTTCTTTTTGTCTACTACTAATTCCTTTTCTCCTAACGCAAACGCGGCGTATTGGACACCTTCAACTAGCTTCCTTAGGCGTCCACCTGAAGTATAATAACATTTATACAAGTTATATTTACATAGATTGAGATTACCTTCCAATTTCTTCCACAGAAGATGCGTAAAGTAAAACATGATAGCTTGGGCAAAGAGCACGAACGGGACCCATTGGTAATAAGCGTGTCGTTTTATGGGTTCATCTGAATTGACACCAATCGGTCCAACGCCTGGATGTGCCAGAAATTCTGCATCGAGTAAAGAGTCATTCAAGTGTTTGACCTTCGGAATGAATTTGAGACGTTCAATAACAGATAAGAACGTTGTACTTACCACAGTAAATGTTGCGGTGAAGAAACAAAAAGTGTTCATTACATGATTGGCGACTCCACTATCACTTATACATCGAATGTGTTCGCCAATATACTGCCTGGATGTCACCAATACTGTAGCAACTAACAGCATCAACGTTGTCACCCGATAATGGAGTTTGAATGCAAAATTGTCAATACTATACGCTTTGGGCTTGAGCACAAAGTTTTTCCGCACATCGTCGAACACCCTCAACATTTCGGAGCGTTATCTGAAAACAAATTTTTTAGTTAAAATAAAATTGTCTTAGTCTATGACCGATTGTGAACAAGACTGCCGTTATCAACAGTCGATTAACGTTAGTCATTAAACCATAATAAAGCAAACAGTTATAGAGGCCTCTCGCCTTATCGATAAGGAGGATCAAGTAAAGTCTTCAATTCTATTAAAAATGATATACGAACTAATTTTATAGAAGTAAACATCACGTGGTAGTAGTGCTATATTTGGGTCTGCAGGTTATTAAACTAGACTTTTTCGTTGTGATTATCAAAACCCTTTGTTACTATTTATAACCTGTCAACGTAATTAATATTTAATTTCAGAAGATCGATTGCAAAAGTGGGGTCCAAGGCAAGCATCTTTATATAAATAAATCTAGTGTAAAGCGGATCTAGAAAAGACACAGACCGGTGTGACTCTACATTGGATTTACCCCATTTATTTATGATATGTGGCATATAGGTCAACTGTGCAAAGTTTGCACGGAATCGGTCCAAGCGTTTGCGAGTTATCGTGTTCACAGACAGATGGGCACCATCGACTCCCCTGAAAAGCGTGCATCGCTTTGTTCGGCCGCTTACCAAATGGGAGCTACGCCACAAAAATCTCAAAATTTGCGTTTCCTTTTTAATTTTTTTCTCAGCAACTGCAACAGATAGAGATAGGACCGTGTCAATGTGGGAGAAACGTTGACTTTTCGCTCAATATTAGGCGCTTTCTTTCGGTGATCCAAACGCGTTTGGATTGTCAAATCACGTTCTTTCGAAGTGTGATCTTATGATCATGATTGCTAAAATCGTGAACAAAGTGAACATAAAAGTTTTATGATCACGAATTCCTAACCTATAAATGCAAGGATATTTTTGCTCAAATGTTAGGTTAGTCAATATTTGTAACTGAAGAAGGGCATAATCGTGCAAGTACTTCCACTTGTATTTAAATTATTTTCATAATCCAAACAAAAAATAGGTAATTCGAATGCAAATGTGTACTACGTAAACTTAACCATATTTTGACTTAAATTCGCGCGTTCTTTCGTAAAACGTGATCCTACGAATCACGATTTTGAAATCATGATTGCTAAGCAGCCGAAAGAAAGCGCCTATTGACACGGTCCTATCGTGGAAGTCGCGCGCATCTTAATGACTGGCTTTTTTTGAAAAGGTCATATGCAAAAAACTGTTCGGCAGTTTCTACATACGTTAAAAGCTGTAAATATTTTTACAAAATCATAACGATAAATACCTGGGTAAAGTTGTTAATTGTTTTATTTTTCTAAGAAGCAGAAATTAAAGAAGAAACGCAAAATTTGAAGATACATGGTATGTACATACAGGGTGATTCCTATAGTACCTGCCACCGTTTGGGAGCGTGTAGGTGGTGCGTAGGGGAGTATTTTGATATAGAACACTTGGGGTCGGAAATCTAAAATAAGGGTGCCAGAGCCAAATTTACCTTCTGGAATTTCGCGCCTGTAGGTAGGCAACCCAACCCGCCGGCGGTGCACACGGAGCGATCTCAGGCGGCGATGTGTGGCTGACACTTGATCAGAATTTTGTTTAAACCCACGAAATCCCGTCTGCAACGACGCGTATCTAGTGAATAAACACTATGGCAATAGTATAATAATAGTTGGCTAGATGTAGGAAGTGCATTGAGAACAACGGTGGCCACGTTGAACACTTGTAAACTTTATTGCTTTTGACTGTCGTTTTCCCTCCTTCCCTCCCATGTCGCTTCCTCGCGCTAACTCGCTCTGCATCGCTCCGCGCGAAACGTCGGTCGGTTGGGTTGCCTACATACAGGCGTGAAATTCCAGAAGATAAATTTGGTTCTGGCGCCCTTATTTTAGATTTCCGACCCCAAGTGTCCTATATCAAAATACTCCCCTAGGCACCCCCTATACGCTCCCAAACGGTGGCAGGTACTATAGGAATCACCCTGTATGTTTCATTCCATTACTGAATCTCGCCCTTTGTACACATTTCTATGTAATGTAACCTATAGGTACTTATTAAAGACATTTATTATTATTATTATTATTACATCTCCAAAACGCAACTTCTTTGATATATTCAATTGTTGCGCCCTGTACAATTTTACGGGGATAGTAGCTAAAGACATAACTAAAGTTTAGTAAATTGCCATGCTACACGTTATTTTAGTTGGCGTACTAGTATTGTCATTTCAAAATGACCACTATTAAACGAACGCTTGTCAAATCGATGATAAAACAATGTATACTTGTATTGTGTGAAGAATTAATTCCGTTATTACAAAGCGATATGAACCGACAACAGCGAGTTTGGATACGAAATTGATTAGCTCAGAAGAAGTCTCATGGGTTTCCCTGTCAGATTTTGAAAGAACTGGCAAATGAAGACTTGGAGGAGTACAGAAACTGTATGAGGATGACGAAAGGCCGATTTTATGAACTGCTGCAGGTCGCTCCTCTTATAACAAAATCTGACACCCTTATGAGCTGTACTTATGAACTTGACTAAACTGACCTCTCTACACTTGTTTAGTTAGCGTTTTAGTTGCTAAAAAGCAAAGGTGGGAGAGGCAACTTGCTCAAGTAAATAGAAACTGTTTCTATCCACTTAACTAAACCGTTTACTAAATTTAGGTACTTGCGCAAGTACTAAATCAAGTTGTTTACACCATACAAGTAACTAAATTTAGATACTTAATTTAGCAACTTGCTTTAGCTACTTGACACGTGTAAATTACCCATAAATTTAGTTACTGTCTTTAGCTACTGTCTTTCGCTACTGTCTTGCGCTACTGTCTTTAGCTTCTGTCTTTAGCTACTGTCTTTAGTTACTGTCTTTAGCTACTGTCTTTAGCTACTGTCTTTAGCTACTGTCTTTAGCTACTGTCTTTAGCTACTGTCTTTAGCTACTGTCTTTAGCTACTGTCTTTAGCTACTGTCTTTAGCTACGAAATGGATGTATGAGCAGTTGCAGCCGTGGTTAGGGCTATGTTTCCTTTTTTTGGTTTGTTTTGTTCCCTTTTATTTTCTGTGTCCTTAACCACGTTACAAATTATAAAATACAATATTTCAATTTATGTAATTATTATACAGTAGCATAGAGTAAATAATATATACTCTATGACAGTAGGTATGTGATACCATTTTACTCCTGTATTCTCTTTCAATCATATTTTTCTCCAGTAATATTGTATCAGCATGCATGGAAATGAGTACCTCATCAGTTTATGGTACAAAAAAAGAAAATCACAATGTTAGCTGACACGACAACGTGGACAAATGTGTTAGCTGGGTCATCAAAGACGCCTCGCTAAAGCTACGCTAGACTTTGCACGCCCAGCTAACAGGTTTTTCCACATTTAAATATCAGCTGACAGTTATTTACACTATTTTTAGATTGCACACTATTATATACAGGGTGACAATTTGAAAACTTACCACCCCCCATATCTTAGTAAATAAACGAGATATTAAAAAAAATCAAAATCCGTTTCGGTAATTCGGAGGGGGAATCACAATGACATATTTGGCGACGCACCCCCTCCAACCCCCTGCGCCCCTGCCACCCCAACTTTTAAATCTTAAATAGTGACCCCCCATGTATGATACGTCGTTGGAAAGCTCTGAAAAAATGCTTTCCAACCATACCAAATAGCATTACATTTAGGTTAGTAATTATCGTGCAAATCAAAAAATAAACTAATATGATACATTTGAAATCTGTCGTATTTAAAACGCAACCGGCGAACATAGACGAACTAAGAGAGAGAATAATTCAAGAATGTCGAAATATTGCAAAACCAACATTTGAAAAGGTTCGACAAGAGTTTGAGAATAGATTATAACTGACGATCAAAAATGAGTTGCTGTCGAGTCGGCTTTGGAAGTTCAAGTTAAATACGATTTTAGATGTAAACAAAAATTTCAGAAGGCGACTCGACAGTAACTCATTTTTAATCGCATAGTAATACTGTCTTACCAAGAACGGAAACTATTTTGAACATTTATTGAAATAAAAGCCAAATGTATCATATTAGTTTATTTTTTGATTTGCACGATAATTACTAACCTAAATGTAATGCTATTTGGTATGGTTGGAAAGCATTTTTTCAGAGCTTTCCAACGACGTATCACACATGGGGGGTCACTATTTAAGATTTAAAAGTTGGGGTGGCTGGGGCGCAGGAGGTGTGAGGGGGTGCGTCGCCAACTATGTAATTGTGATTCCCCCTCCGAATTACCGAAACGGATTTTGATTTTCTTATATATCTTGTTTATTTACTAAGATATGGGGGGTGGTAAGTTTTCAAATTATCACCCTGTATATGTTACCGGCAAATTTTTCAGCTTTGCGAAAATGGTCCGATTTTTCGTATCTTTCCTACATTTTCACGCAAGCTGTTAACAAGTTATTCCATTTACTTCATGCAGCTGACATACAGTGAGCTTTTTTTAAATGCGAACATAGGAGTTTGCATGCAATGTAATTTCCCTATGCTCGATTTAAAAAAAAACACATCAATCTCTTGAACCAGCTGACGCCTTATCGTTGATAAGTTGTGGATCAAAAATCTATAGTAGAAAGAAAATGCGCCGGTGAAATAGGATGCTACCTCCCGGACTAAAACCTGTGTCTTCGTTTTGTATCTATTTTATGCGCCGATACAATAGTGCTAGACACCAACATGATTGTACCGACGACATGGCCAGGTTCTTTTTGCGCTTTTTGCTTGGAAGAAAACTAAGACGTCTATAGATTGAAAAGTACTCTAGATAAGACCGATGCCTTTTTAAACAACCTTTTTCTTACAACATCGCACAAACTAGAATTTTATTTATTTATTTTGTTTTTATTTATTTATTATCCCCCTCTTGTTCTGGGCCCTCAACAAGCATCCCGGCTTCATTTTTTATTTCTGATCTACAAAGTACAATAAAAAGATAAAGACCCGTGTGTCCTCAATTTTTATTTGCGAGTAAAATAAACCCAAAAT